CTCATTTACATTGCCAGAAGTACCCTGATCAATCAAATGAACTGCTATTCATCTGTTAATGTATGCTTATCAATAATAACCTAACATACAGCATCTTAATGACAACAACCAATAGATTAATTATTAATGTATGATTTGTCTCAGTTATGATTCTGCATTCTCTGTATCAGTTGTAGCAATTTAATGTTTTATTTAATGGATTTACTTCATTTTGTGTCATGTGGTTTGTAATCAGGACAGGAAATATGTGAGAAAATGGTTTAGAAATTTATTGAACAAACTATTATTTATTCTAGCAAGTATGTTAGGATAAACAATAACAAGTCTTTTCTCCAGAGCAGTGGTATTCAATCAATTACAGTGCTGGATATCAATTGTGAGTTAAAACTTTGATAACACTTGTTTCTTATTAACAGGTAGAAGTCTATATGATATTTAGCATGCCTCATATATAAATAATGCAATGTTATAACATTATCAAATGGTGATGGAATTTTGACTCAGTCAAAATTAAACACATTTTGTACAAACAACAGAAAAGCTTTAGGTTTTTTTTTCTTTCTTTATTTTGGTAAAATACAGCATGATATAGTACAGCACAAAATAAAACCAAGAAAAAAGTTCATTTTAATTAAACACACAAATCATTTTTAGTGGCTGGAAAGCTTATTTGCTGAAGAGGACATAGTTGATCAAATGCAAAAAAACAGTTTCTTTCTAAGATTTATGAGCCTGGAATGTAGAATTTAGGTGCCAACAGTTTTGTCTTTCTAATTTAAAATCTGTGATAAAGACAACTCTATTTTGCAGACACTGAATAAGGGATGTTAATATATTTCTGTTTATGAGTAGGTTAATTTCATTAAATTAAAAAAATATTAAATTAATATATCTCTAACTGCAATATTTCAATTTCCCTATTAAATCAGATTCAATTGAAAAATACTGCATTGGTAATAATGTCTCTGTAAAGTAGTCTTTAAGTAGCTTATATTAAAAACATTTTTCAAAGATACTGCAAATGTTTTTAAGTTGACAAAATAGACAAATAATTTGTAATTGTTCTTAATACTGAATGTTTTTTTGAATTTAATATTGATATTGAAAATTTATACTTAATAGTGTAGCTTAATATTTAGGTATAAGTACACAAAATTTCTTTAGGTAGGCTTGAATTATTAACAAAAGATAGATGTTTGTCTTTAAGTTTGAACTCTAAAAAATGATCTATATTTTAATTTTAACTTTGTAAGGCAATATATACTTCTTGAGAAATACAGTAAGTGCATCTTTGGAGTTGGAAATTAAACAGATAATGCATTAACATATTCATATATAATGTATATGTAAACCACAGATACATATAGCAACATAGATACAAATATATAGATGCAAGTGTAATGTATCATATTTCTATTTTAATTAAAATTCAGGAGAAAATCAAACGCATGTAGAAATATTTTTTTTATCCACATGAAACCAAACAATCAGATAACGGGTTTGTATAACCTTTCATTTTTGTATGTGTGTTTTATTGTTAAGAGTACAATTTCAAGCTTGCAAAGCCACATTAAATATATCCAGAATAGAACATTTTCATTTTTTTTTTAATTGAAATTTATATTTACCAGACCTATTGACATTTGTATCAAATATAGATAAGTTAGTGTGTATTATTGAATAAAATATTTCTGCAAAGCCATGCTTTCAGCAGATATATAAAGCTGAATGAATACTTGTATTTTCTATAGTCTGATTTTTACTAAAATCAAAAAACAGTTTACATGAATTTCAGAATACCTTTTAAAATTTAACATAATTACAATTTAAAATGATTTAATATATGGTAATAATAAATACTAAAATTTTATATTCATTATTTTTTATGAAGAATGATGATTTCTTTTGTTCATTTTTTTTTTCTAATTAAAAATAAAAATGAAAAAAAATACTAAAAATGCATTTATAAATTTTTTAAATGTACAAGTGGAATAAAACTGTGTCAGTAGCCCATAATTTAATCTAAATTTGGTTGATGCAATACTAAGAATAAATTATATAAATTATTTAAATACTAATACTATACTTGTTTAAATGAATGTTGCTATCTATAAACTCATAAAATATTGGCAAGAAATATAAGTAAACAAATGATTTTTTTCTAAATTACTAAATACAGAACATAAAATGCATTGTAATACAGGGAGCTTCTTTTACCATAGATAAATATATTAATTTGAATAATGAGAAAGGCATATAATGGCAGCAATTTTCTTACACTTGGAAATGTTTAAGGAAAAAAAAAGAAAAGAAAATTAATGCATTGGTTTTTTGTTATCCCCAACACACACACTATATATATATATATATATTATGTGTGTGTGTATATCATTTTTTTTAATTTCTCTTTGCATCTCAATGTTTGAATTGATTTTTTTTTTTTACGTAAAATGAAGAGTATAAATACAAGTGAATTGAAAACATTACATTTCATGCCATTTTACTTTTGTTAAATGATAGTAAACTTCAACTGATATGATTGAAAATATTTTTGATAGCAGCTTTCTACTTTGAAATATTTTATTAGAAAAAAATACAACAACTTCAGATAATACAGAATATATTTTAACTATGTGCTTACTAAACACTTTTTTGTAAGAATCTTGTTTAACAAAAGAAAAAGTTGATATTTTAAGACATTTTATGTAGTTTTTTTTTTCTTTTTAAATCCAGCAAACCATTGCCTCCTACATAACAAAGGCATTGTATCCATTTTTTAAAATTTACTCTTAAGTATTAATTACAGAAAATAATGTATTTTCAAATATTTAACAGTTGCACAGACAAATACAAGGAATAATATACCATTTGACAAAACCTTTTAAGATCAGATAAAAAAAGCAAGTTGAGTTTTTGCAATGAAATCTTGTATTAGAGCTTCACAACACAATACAAAACATTTTTTATATATATATATATATATATATATATATATATATATATAATTTGTGCACACAGTTGTCCATTTTTAAATTAGGAATGTAATATTTTTGTCTCTGTAAATTTGAAGGCGATGCAATAAGTCTACTGGAACAAGGATAACAGAGTTATTGCCCTTACATTTTATTCAATAGTTACTTTTTTTTATATAAAGTAATAGCAATTTTAAGGGATATAAGAAAACAAAATCTGTTATTTTATTCATCACTGAAACAAGTGAATGAAACTTTATTATAAATTTTATAGTATTCATTTCTGTTTTTTAAGGTCCTGCAATCTTGTTTCTTTTCACAGCAAAAGAAAGAAAATTGCTTACACATAACTAAGAATCCAAGTTCTGATTCAAAATGCTTCTTCTTTTCCAGACAAAATTTATCATTGAATGCTTTCTTTAAGCAAAACAAATAAATCAGTTTTAATATTTACCATTGTGTGTTTGTGTGTGGCATAAAAACACATATTGCAACTGAGTGTAGTATTTATTTACTGAGTTATGATATATATGTGTGTGAGTTTTTGCATATCATATATTTAAGATATAACATCATAATTTCTAAGAACTAACATAAATAAAACTCATTAAGGAAGATTGCAGTGAGAGGATTGATGTCCAGAGGACATATATCCAAGACAGACATGGCACTGTGAGATTCATACATCCAGTGATGATATGAGGCAGTTAATAGACAATGGCAACAAATAGCAACAGAAGATATATATTGTTTTTGATAGCAGAAAAGAAATTTACCCAGTCCTAAACTCAGTAATTAGATGTTTGAATAAATTATAAATTTAAATGAATGTATCAAAAACATGGTTAAACAGAAGGGAAACAATTGTGCTTAGGGTAGAAGTAAAGACACTAAGATTAGTGATAACTGTTTTTTTTTTTTTTTATTTTTTGCATGGTTTAAAAATTCTATCAGATTTTGAAAATTGTTCTTGTTTAGATTGCAATTTTCTAAAATCTAAATAAAAATCAACATACAGAAATAATATAAGTGTTATATATAAATATATATATATATTTTCTGATACTCTGATAGATTTGGTCTTCATTATTTTAGAGACAAAAACTTACATCTGTTTAGTATATAATTAGTGTTTTACATAATGCAATTACTATCTCGATTTTCATTTGTGATTGTATATCTTTCATTGATGAAAAATTTTTGAGTTTATTTTTATACCCCATCCAACCCCAACAACTTAAGTTTATTGTGAACAGATCTTTCATTTTTTTTTTTTCTTTCAAGTTGGGATTATTTTGAATATGCCATTGCAGATGTGGTTTGTAGAAGCTCAGTGTTAAAATATAAAATTTCACTTTTTAAACAATACATAACTAATATATCAGCACTGAGATGTGTTCTTTTTTATATTAGCACAAGAAAAATATAATTGAAAAGGAATAAAATAAAAAATTCATTATTTTCTTTCTAGTTTTTTGCTTAGTTCATTATATCAAAATACACAATTTACTTCTGTCACTCATTAATATTCACTGATTAAACTTAAAGCAAAATCTTTTCCACTTGTAGCAATGTATAACTCTGAGACATCCAGTAATGATTGTAATTATTTGTATAGCTCTTTCTTGGTAATAAATTATTAATTATGTAATTATTTGTATAGCTCTTTCTTGGTAATAAATTATTAATGTTAGAAAATTTAAAAAAAATTGGTTTGAGGTTGGGACCTACAAGAAAGAATAAATTAGTTTAAAATAAATTGCATTTTGAAACTCAAATTATTTCTCAAAATATTTATTTCAAAATGACTTGACAATATTTCATGTCAAATGAAAATTTGATTTTTGAAATCTTAAATTTATTTTTAAGCATGAACAAATACATACAATTGATTGGGATTTTTTCTTCATATTTATTGATTAAAAAAAAAACAAAAAAAAAAAACTAAGTGATGTCTGCATGGTCACTATAGTTTTTTAGATTGTAATGGACGAGGAATTTTTACAGAAGAATCCTTGCAAAAAGAAACTACTTGTCCTTGCTGTTATCGTCTTTCATCTCTTTGATGGAGCCAAACAGTCTGGAGGTTCCGGCTGCTGATATTCCACCAGAACCAATGGTCAAGTTGGTTCCACCCTCAACACTTGATGTGCCTTTAGAGCTGCTGCCACTGCCACCACACAAGGACCAGTAGAAATAGAGAGTGAACAAAGAGAAGACAAGGCTGCCAAGAAATGCGATGTAATTGCCAATGAACTTTCCAGTTTCCAGAAATCCGATGAAGATCACTAGAATGAAAAGAGAAAAAAAATATTTATATAGTTTACCAATGATTTAAAAAATGATGGTAATTATTAGAAAGTTTTAATACTGGGATGCAATGAAATGAGTTTTGAAACCATGTATTGAGATTTAATATAGCTGAGATATAGAATTCATAACTAAAATATTGGTCAATGAACCATTAATCCATTCCCTCCATATCTTTTTTAATAATGGTATCTATGATCCATTGGTTATTCTAATCAGTTTTTAAACTCCATACCTTTTCATGTTAAAAATTTGTTTAACAATTATTAGAAAAGCCTATTGAAAGAAAAAGATTTAGTAACAGAACAACAAAAGTTGTTATCTCAAGACCAACTTGAAGCAAGACGATCCCTTAGTAAACAAGGGTATCTGAGTACATCGAAAGAAAAGGTTGAACAAATAAGACTGCAATCTAAGAAATGTTGGAAGGGAACGAATTAATTAAATAGTGCATTTCGCATGTATGAAAACTAATTTTGTCTAAAAGAAATCTATTTTAAAATGACTAAGGGAAATAACCGCCGATAAATTTAGTACCTTAAATTGATTTACCTCCCTTTCAACTAAAGTGCATAGAAATATATAAGCATAATGGTAATTATTATATAGCAGATACACACTGAGGAATCATAAAGCAATGAATATTGAGAAAAAAATTCGAACTAAAAAAAAAGAAAAAATGATTATTTATTTTCCTACCAAATCTTGAAACAATTATTTAAATCTTTAAGAAAATTCATCAGGAGCAGGAAATATGACATGCTGTGTTAGGTACTGTAATAGTATTAGCAATATAAGATCTTTTGGAATTTTTCTTTTGAACCAAAAAATCAAAATTTAAGAAATATAAATAAATGATTCTCTCCTGAAAATTACATTCAAATGGCAATTTTATTTGTAAAAGTCTGTCAAAATTAGCAAGATAGAATATGAAAAAAAATATCCTCTAAAGAAAACCAATTGCACTAAATAAATCTCATTGAACTTTAACTTTCCTCAAAGATTTGGGGAGTGGAAGATATTTTATGCATCAATATGAATACAATAAAAAAAAAAAATAAATGGATTTATTTTTTTTTTTTTTTGTGATAAGGATTTGTATATAATTTTCCAAATTTTACCAATTTTTTACTCTGAAAATGTTATCTAGTTTTTAACAATGAAATGATCATATAATTGAAACTGCATTTCTCAATGTATATTTTTGTAATTAGCAAATTTTACTTTGTATGTGTGGCAGTCAGGTTCTTTTTGCTATCTTCTGATGTTCTGTAAACTGATTTTCCATTGAAAAATTATCACTTCATAATTCTGGTTTTAAGTAATGCAACAAGATTTGTAAATTATGTGATCTGTCCTCTGCAAAAAATAACTTTTCATAAGTTAAAACAAAACTTATGAAAAGTTATTTTAATGTTTTGTTTTTTTCTTTTGTCTTACATATAGCCTAAAGAATTACTATTAGTTGTCACTAAACTATTCAGTTTGGGAAGTTAGGCAATAAGAAACCTTCAAGTATTACTGCTTGTTGGTGTCTATCAAAACTAGATTTGTCTTTAAATTTAATTTTTTTTTTTCAAGATCAACGTTTTTTTAAAAAATTTTTTTTAAAGGGTTAAAATTAGATATTCCTACATTTTTAAACTAACACTGAAGGTACTTTTAGTTTTCAGTATAATTCTCAGCTCTTCATAACTTAAATTAGATTAAATGTCTTTTTTGTGCTTATGTGTATTTCTATAAGGAAATGCATGTAAGAAATAAAAATGTTAAAAAAAAATTGAGTGCTGCATTGCAAAGATTTTAACTTTAAAAAAAATTATCTGGAGTCATAAGTTGTATCACAATGGAGAAGTTTTCCTTTTCTTCCCAATGCCATAACATACTTTGTTTACACTTTGAGAAAGCACACATCAAGAACAAAAGAATAATTGATAAATGAATAAAGCATTTGATTAGAAAGGGACTAGCAAACTTTCTATTTGAAAATGTATTCTAGTTTATTCATTGACTTTTTCTGAAAATACTGTGTGAAAGAAGAAATACTTGATATTAAAAGATGTGTTGTCGCACTGACTTTGAAGGAAAAAGAAAATACAATATGTACAAAGAAATAAGTAACCAACCAATTTTTTTTCTCAAGTTGTTTGCAAATTTAAAAAGAAAAAGAATGTTGAGATTAGGCTTGGTAAAAGAAAAAAAAATTATGAAAGTACACTTTTATATCAAATACAAGTGTCATGTGGAATAATCATTTTGTTTTTTCTTTCAGTTATATAAGCATCACGAAAAGAAGACCCCATCAGTAAACCAAATTTTAGTCTATAAAAATTGTTATGGAAAGTGAAAAAACATTGATTAGTGATTTAAATGGAACATTTATATGATCTGATATGTAAGAATAGGTAATTCTATTTTTGTTAAGTGTTTTGATTAAATTTTGGTATTTCTTTATAGGAACATTTGCATATAAAGATTTTATATCTAAACTAATCATTAGCTTTGATGCCTATTTTTTAATTTATTTAAAAGTTCATTTTTTTTTTATATGTGAGGAGATAATTGTATCAAGAAGTAGGGTTAAAATTTTGGCTAGTGCATCACAGCGAGTTTATGTGGGACACTTCTTAAAAAAATATTTTCTGTGTTTATCCTGAAGAACAAATTCGATTTAAAGTGATACAATTTCTTATTTTTTATTATATAGTATATGCTTATTGTTTTTTAGTACTTGTAATGAAAATATCAGTATCACAAAGTCTGTATTTATTAATCAGTACAAATGGTACTTTGACTAAACCAAATAAATCGCAAGTTAATATATAGTATAAGTTAGTAGTTATTGGTTCAACAAATAAATTTAATGTTCACACATCATAGGGACATAAATGCCCAAAAGTAAATGAAATTAATACTATTTTGTGGAGATGAAGTTTTTAATTTTTATAATATATTATTAATCATATACATTTATGATCACCTAGACATATCAAGAGCATTATGCATAGGTACATATCTTTTCATATTAATTCAGGTGCAATTTAGTTACAATAATTGTAATTTTGTTGTCATGGCTACTTGTTATCAATTTTCTTTAAAGTTAGTTTTATTTTTATCCCCAACATAATTAGTGAATCCATGATTTATGACTACATTTTCATACAGTGTATAAAAAGAAGAGATAAGTTTATTTAGGGAAGAGATTTTACAGTTTTCAGTATGATTCTCAGTTCTTCATACTTTCCATGTGATTTGACTTAGATTAAATACCTCGAAATGCAGGAATGTAAGAAATGTTAAAATACACACAAGGGGATTTTATTTTTAATATTTAAGTGAAGGACTAAATTACTTTCAAAGATAAATTTTAAGTTTTTTGTCACAGTGATTAGATAACATAAAAATATCATATCTAATATAACTTACAAATTTAAAGTTTTTAAAAATTGCATTTTGTAGGTGAGATGTGTAATAAGTTGTAAATTTCAGTCCAAGAGATTCCATAGTGATGCCAACCATCTGGGAATCAATGTTGGTTTTTTGATCACAGAAAAGAATTAGGTGATGTAGACATAGCAGAATCTTATGGGGGAATAGTAAATATTTTGGATACACATTGAAAATAATGTTTAGTATCTTCTAATAAATTTTTAACAGGAAACCTGGTTGATACCATTACTAAGTTTTATGGAACAGAGTATATGAAGAAATTCATGTGTGGACTTTGTATTTAGCTGGTAAATATAGTAGTATTTATTTCAGTGTTTTTAATATTGTGGAGTTACCCCACTTTTCAAAAAAAAAAAAAAAAATACACATTATTAGGGAGCACTCCCTAAGCCTGTAAATAGACAGTAACATTCTCTGTCATTCTTTTTTCGTATCCTCTAACACCCCCCCCCCACACACATCAGGGTTAGGTAAGATGTAGGTCGAACGAGGAAAATGCATTCTCCACTCAGGAACACTCGTATACATTTTTCATTTCATTTTCTCTAGGACTTTCTCCTACACCAAACTATACATTCTTTAGTCTTTAAATGTTTTCTTCATTCATATTCATTGTTTTATAACATGCAATAATTTCCTACCCTTGTTTTGTTAATACATACAGTACATTTGTTTATATATATAGTTTTGCAGCTACCTTTCGTTTTATTAGCTGGACTTGTATTCCAAGTCCGCCGTTTTTGTTATGGAATAAATCTACCTGGAGACGCATGTTTTCCACCTAAACACTTGATCAGCATACTCCCACAACAATATATAGGAATTTGGGAAATCATATATCTTAAACAAGTACTGGGTTTGTAGATCATTATATTTCCATACATCTACCAAGGATAATAACTACCAGTGATATTTCTTCAGTTGTATGAAACCCATTTCAACACTGTTGACAGATATAAAAAAAATGAGAAAAGGAAGATATATGCCAACAAAAGAAAATTATGCAATTTGACTTTATTATCAAATGCAAAAGCAAAACCTAGAAAAGTGAATTTTCTAACTGATTTTCTATCAATATTTACAAGAATTGTTTTAAGATTTTTAACATTAATATTTTATTTTTTTTAATATTATTTTGTTTAAAATCATTTGGAATTATATATATACATATATGTCAGATCTATGTATGTAATAGTCCCTCCTATAACATCTTAGCATTTAATATTACAGTATTATTGCTGGTAGTCATAAGTGTCTGGGATTATGGCCATATCATGTTGAATCATAGAAAACAAACAATAAATCAATAAAAAAATCATTATCTCCAAAAAATTTTTACAATCTAAAGATAGTTTTAAATAACTTGCAAAAGGTTGATAAGCTGTAATCAATTAATCAAAACTCAAGTATCTAAGTATACATTAACTTAACAAATACATCAGCTTTACTGGGGATAATTTATGGCAGTGGATCTAATGATATTAAATGCAGTATTCCATTTTAAATAGTATTTTTTTAGAATGTTACA